GAAGATATCAATTAATGTTAATGTAACTTTTGCAGTATTTTATAATGAAGTGTCATTTGTTTAATTTTTTCTGGGTACACAAAACAAACAGAAACCAGATCTTTTTCTTTATTGCCAAATTGAGATAGACCCTGTAAAATATAACACACACACACACACACACACACACACACACACACACACACACACACACACACACACACACACACAGGCAATAAGGATTACCTGTGTTGGATGACTGTCATGTGATTGGGTTTAGCGTGGCTCACAGGCAAAGAGGTGAAATTCAACAGAATGGAAAAGGAAAAGCAGAAGTTAAAGTAGTATCTGTTATAGACAGAGATAGATCTGGTGGCATACTTTTTTTTTTTAAACAATTTTTGAACTTAAAACTTGATAATTATGGGTTTTTATTTGACAATAGTCTGTATTAAACCTGGATGCACTCTCAGTGACGTCACACATTGGTTTCTTAAGCTACGTTTTGAAGCCCAACGATGGTGGTCGCCATATTGGAAGTGCCACCTCTACTAACTTTTGGTCAACCTAGAATCCGGTAAATAGGCTGATGAGGCATGGTTAAAGCCTCATGGCAAACTTGATTAAGCACGACCCTTGCTCTAAAAACAATAAAAACACAGTATTTATATAAAAAATTCCTATTTGTACCAATAGAGCTATTCACACCTAAAACCGTCTTTTGAACAAGTCTGTAAACATGTTCTGTTTTCTGCTGTGAAAATGGGCATTTGAACATGGGTGTTAAAGGGACTTCTGGGGCTATTGTAGCCAGCCTAAAATGGAAATTCAAGGTACTAGAGGGTTTTTCTTTCTCACTTTTGCAATGGCTTCATTTTCTCCAGAAGTTGCCGGTTACCTCTTTTTATTTCCGATCCAACTGTTGTAGAAAAGAGGAACCCTGGAAACATGAGCACTGAAAGAATACAAACCTGACAAACTGAGCTAATGTTAGCCACATGCTATCTCCACTAAAGAACATCACAAACGTAGCTTAACATTAAATGTGAAACAGCTGTGTTGTTTCACTAAGACCTTTAACCCCCCATCTAGCTTTTTGTTATTATTATTATTTTATTATCAAATGTTTGTAGAAAATCATGAAATGAAGCTGTAAAGAAGCATGTAAGGCGTTGAGAACACAGGGTTTTCATTCATGTTAAAAAAAATTGGAAGCCTTTGATGGAGGAAGGAAAGGAAACTAAACAAGAGGAAGTGATAGAAATGCGGAACCCAATTATGTCTCAAGGGCTCCATGTTAGCTTGACCTTCTGGGTAATATTTTGAGCTCTGCTTCAGTATCTATGTTTGTCTCTCGTCTTGTGCTTCCTCTCAGTATCTCATCCTCCCCACTCTTATTTTCACTCCAGCTCTTATTAAAACTCCCCCTGCTTTTGATTCTCGACGTCTCTGCCTGTACTGTGGTGTAAATCATCTATATTTTGGGATATGAAACCTCGATAGAGTGGCTCTCATGCTTTAGATCACTTTCGTCATTCCCTCTCCTTCCTCATCCCTCAGCGGCTCGAGGTTCCCATGGATGTTTGAACATGACGGGTGGGGAAGTGGAAGTAGAGGTCAAGGAATATATTTGAGATGGGCTTAATATTGTCATTAAGGAAAAAATGCAGCAGTTTTTCAACCAAGTGTAACAGGCTCGGGTCAGGAAGTGTATCATATGGAGATATCATTCTAAGTTCAAACTGGGACACCTCAAGTTTCAAGGGCGAGAAACAAAACAGAAATGTTGCAGAAAATCTTTTCTCTGAGGCGTTGAAAGTCTCAAAGGCATGAGGTCACACAATGTGTGTCTGATTTAGGAGAGTGGGATAAGCAGGGAATCCCAAGACAATCGAGGGATGTGTGTTTGTGTGTGGAGTGTATCCCTACTCTTATCAACATTTGCATCTCCACATGTGCAAGATATTCTGCAACCAGTTATTACTTTCACGATTGTTTTATATGCTGATGACTCCCTCGTCATCATATGATGAATTACTGTTTATGTGCCTTGATTTTCACGTCACAATAAGTACCGGGTTGTGGCTGGGCGGTACTGAGAAAGCCCTTCAGGCGTTTTCTCACTCTGACAGAGCAGGCACACTCTTAAGAGGATATAAGAGCTACGTGGTTTGTGTGATTCTGTTTGTTATTAAATGCTATAATTCAACATGACAATTCTGTGGCTATAACACTTGTGTGAATCTGTCAGTCATGCTATGTGTTGTGCTGAAGCTGAAATGTGAACGAGCTTTCACAAAGAGGAAGAGGAAGTGTTGGCTCATCTTCATGGGGTTGAGTTTTCCCACAGCGTTAACTGTTGACGAGGAGCACTAACTGTCCTGCCATGCATGAAGCTCGACCCCACCCTAACATGTGCTCGCCTGCTGGTCAGTCTGCAGCTGTGTGTGTGTGTGTGTGTGTGTGTGTGTGTGTGTGCAATGTGCAGGGAGGGGTCAGTGGTAAGAGAGAGAACAATGCAGACCAGATGGCCGGTCTCTTTCTCCACCTGCTTCAGACCTCTTTGTCCTCTCTCTCCCTCTCTGAACCATTTCACACTCTCACTGCTTCTCTCTCATATTTACACACATTTCCAATGTTTGCTTTGCCTTGAGCTTAAACACACACACATACACATCTTTTCACCTTCCAGATGAGTCGATTTTTTTTTTAACTCAATCTTGTGAGTTTCAATATGGGATTGACTTCTCTTTCAGATGAAACAAAGACTGTGGGTTCATTTCTTTAATGCACTATTGGCACATGCACACAGGCAGTGCATGTGTAAATCCAGCATGGCCACACCCAGACATGTTGCACTTGATTCCAACTATGACTGACATATAAAAGAAGCAGCGGGCCTCATGTTGATCAGCCGCTGACAGTTTAAAAATGTGGAAGGGGTGTGGTACTGAGTGAGAAAACAATAGGAAACAGGACTTTTTCTGTCGGTGGTCTACATCCCCTGGACGTACACATGCAGCCGATTTAGCGCACAAAAAACATCCTAATGTCTGATGTCGCAGTACTGTAGGCAAACAAGGGTCAAAGGACTCTGATTTAACACAAAAAGCTCCTTTATTCAGTTTCCTTCTTGGCTTAAGTTTTCATTGACTATCTGAACCAGCAAAGCCCTAATAACAAACCTTGTCCTCTTTGTTATAAGACCTTGGCCTGATGGTGAGGGCCAATACCAGAAGCTTTGACCACACACGAAATACACAAATGACATTTGTCTGTCATTCTACTACTACACACACACACACACACACACACAACTCCCTGTCCTAAAAGGGCTCTTGCTGTATTCATACACACACAAAGAGAATATCCCTGCAGGCATAAATCAAGCTGCACAGTATTCCTTTTATTAAACTCATAATGGAGACATTATTAAAAGCTCTTGTGATGTTTGCCCCCCTCTGAGTGGACAACTTTAACTTTTAGCTGTCCGTCCATCGGGTTGTTTAGTTCATCGAAAATGAAACTGAATAATAACTTTTAGCTTGTATCCTGTATTCTGTAAAACCGACTTCGGTAGCAAAATCTGATGTGATTAACATTCTCTAGCATTAGTTATGACTTAGTCATGGTCTTAACCTGCAGTGAGAGGCTTCCTGAACACTTTAGGGAGGAAAGACTCCAATTAGGGCTCATTGCGCCAACAGACATGTGAATAAAACTTTAAACTTGCACGTATAGGCAGAGGTAGTATTATTAAACGCTGAATTTAAACCGCATAAGACCGGCTAACAAGAACAAGGGCACGGTTGTTATTTTACAATATATTACAACATAGCTAAACAGAATGTTTGTAGACCTAATCACTAAATACTGTATTCATAAAACGTGTAAGAAATGAGAGTGACACCGGTGAAAAGTGATTACATTTGTTATTTTGTTATTGTTAATCAAACGCTGCAACCATGTGCAGACTTTGAGGTGATGTGCCGTTTTTTAAATGTCACTATGTCTTTATTTGCTAGTGCATGGCCTGTAACAGTAGGACTTCTATCAAACTAATGAGCTTCAGTTTTACATTTAAATTAGAGCAGTGTGGGATATATAAAAAACATCATACCTTGACTTTTAATGGTGTGGATAAGAATCATGTTGTTTTTCATGTTGATTTTTAAAACTGTTTTGTAAGTGAATTAAGAGTTACTGACCAGAACAAGTAAACTTGTATCTATTTTAGGTTCATTAAGCACATTTTCATACTGTGATGAATACATTTAGCTATGTCTTCATGTCAGGAATTCCTCCAGTAAATGAACTACTGTATGAGTAAAAAAAAAAAGAACAATACTATGTGTGATATCTCAGTTTGATTGTTCACTCTTTCTTTGTCGTTCTGTCCACACAAAACAAACACACCACCCCCCCCCCCCTTCATCAAACTCTTCTTTTTGATGTCTGTGTGCCTATGCCACTGTGCCAACATCCCCTGCTTGTATGAGTCTCTCACTCTCTCTCACACACACACACACACACACACACACACACACACACACACACACTCACATATGCCTTCTCTTGTGCTGGCATTGACTGAATAGCCCATTGCCTCTGGAGACCTGGGTAGTTAGTGGTTGGTTGGTTCAGGGACCCTCCTCTCAACCCTCTGTTCCACTGGAGACAGGCAGACATTGTTGTGTTTTTGTTATTTATTTGTATTTTCAAGTATTTGTTCCGCTGAGTCTTAAGTAGAGCCTTTTGTTGGGGAAATATTGGACTCAAAGTAAAGACAGACGCTTGTATGTATGAAGTGAAGAACTGCTCTACAAATGTTTGTACATATAAGTATTTCAGCCGTCCAATCACAGGACAAGGCAGCTATTGGCATGTACAAACCCAGTGTTTCTAACGTTTCTAATTGTCTTCTTTGTGGCAGGAGTGTACAGTATAGAAACTCCTTGTTAATCCAGGTGTCATTTATCGTTTAAAGAAACTTATTGTGTATCTTTTTGTGTCTATTTCAGGAACCATCCGTCCGGTGCGAAGGACTTTTTACGACCCAACCTCGGCCCCGGGTCAGGGCTGGCAGTGGGAGTGGGAGAATGATGCGGGTTCGTGGACGCCCTATGACATGGAGGTGGCCATCGCGATCGAGAGTGCCCACAACCGCCAGCAGCCCTGTCTTGACCTGACCCCACTCGGCTTCTGCTACCTCATTGATTTTCAGAACCTGACACAGGTGTGTTTACACAATCTTTATACATCCTATTATTCATGTATGAAGTGGATGATATTTATTTTTCCAGTTGGATCATCTTCCATATTAGAGAGTCACGGATTGACTTGACTGGTGACCAGAATAGGTTTCAGCCTGTATCCACACACTCAAGCTATTAAGTCGTCAGTGTGGATGTGAGGTTCTCATCAGCAGAGATAAAAGAAAAAGCTTCTCTATTCAGATTTATTTTGAAAATATCTCTGGGGGGTTTCTTTTAGCAAAATCTGCTGAGATAACATGTAAGAATTTTGTCTTTATTCAAATGTTTACACATTTTCAAGAATGTCATAATTGACCATGTTTTATTGAATAACATCGCCTTTTGGCTTAGGCTGTACAGGTTTTAGGAGGGTTAGGAATTAAAACATTCTCCCCAGAATGGACATCCCATTAAGCAATTATACCAGTGTGAGCAATAGTGGACCATTTCCGTTATTTCTAAGGGTTAACCAATGACCAGAGTTTTTTTTCTGTCCTGCTGCAGGTTAACAGACAGAGCCAGAGGTGTCGCAGGCTGCAGAGACGAGCAGACGTAGCCTACCCTTTAGTGTCTGGTCCTCTCCCGCTGCCTAAAGGAGGAGTTGTAGGAGGAGGCGGAGGTCTAACAGGAGCCCTGCTGGGTGTCGGGGTGTCAGGGTCCAGTATGGGGATTGGAAACTCTCTCTACTCCAATGGGGGCTTACCAGCTACTGGACTAGGCCAGCCTTGTTCCTGCCAGCAGTGCATGCTGGTCCTTAGTGTGAAGGCCAACACAGGTGGTGTAGGGGGAGGAGGCGCAGGTATTCAGACCCTAGGTAGAAGATCTTTAACCATGCAGCGACCGAAGACCACTGCATCTTTCTCCTCCAAACCTCTGAGTCCGTCGAAATCCGCCACTCTTGGACGAGGACAGCAGCAGAACTCCAACTCCAACTCCAACTACTACCAGACGCTGCCGCACGGACTCGCCATCTCCAGAAATATTGCCTCCCCGAGAAGGAACGCCCAGCTCTTCGCTCAGTCACTCGCTGCTCTCACGGCTGGCACTTCCACTCTCGGCATCTCCTCGTCTTCCAACAGGCCGCCGCCACCGTCCTTCCCCCCTCCTCAGCCTCCGTCATCGAACCCAAGCCAGAACCCTCCGTCCATCCCGCCGAAACTCTCCTCATCTTCAGCAAGCGACCCGGTGCCGACCGCTACATTAGTAACCCCAGCAAACAGTGTGACCACGCCCCCCTCGCCCGTGCCCTCTCCCTCGCCGATGGTGATGAAGCCACAGCGCAGCGTGTCTTCCGCGGCAACAGTGTGCCATGCCCCATTGCCACAGAGGTCAAGTTTAGCCGGGCTGAGCAGACCAGCGTTACAGAGGATAGCGATGGCTCAGTCCAGGGCGCTCATAGCATCTGGGTGAGTCAATGAAACACTTAAACACCCAAAACAATACCTACCACACACACACACACACACACACAACACACCCATGCACACACACTTACACACAACAGATTTAGTAGAAACCTTGCAGGGCTCTTTGAAGATGATCATGTTGCGCTGCATCAGTAACCAGAGCTGCAGCCAAACAGGATTTTTGTCAATCGGTTTAGGCTGTTACATTTAATGGTTTCAGAACTGGTTCCTTTTGTTCAATTCTCTCTGCTTAAATAACAATAAGGGATTTTTTTGTCTGGTTAGATGTCTGGATTTTAAGTTACAAGAGAAAAGAGCTGAGCTAAAGCCAGCAGCAGCTCAGCTCACAGCCCCCAAAGCCCAGATAGAAAAGGCTCAGAGAAAGAATGATTTTAAACTTTAAAGTGCTTTATTCTGTGGTTTGACTGATTGTATTCCCTGCTCTGTTTGTATTGGAGAGAATCAGACCTGTGTATAATTTTGTTGCTAGTAAAAAAAAAAAGAGTTCCTTTTGGCACTAAAGGGTAATTTAAAGGAACAGTTTACAGCCTTTCATTCTTTATCCTGCTTTGTTTTTTGTACAATGACACAGCAAAAAACTAAAGTGCAAGTTGCCTTGACAACTTTTTTTACTGGTGACTTGAACTGTCAACTTTCGGGGGGGTAGCCCTCAAAGCTCTCATAATGTTTGTCTTTGATGTGGATATAAACTTTCCGATTTACTCAGGAGAAGGAAGAATAATGAAGCTCATATCTATAAAAAATAGAAGACCATATACTGTGGCAACCATTCTTATTTTGCAGATCATAACTATATCAAAATAAAAACATACTGGATTTATTTAATGTCATTCGTTCCTCACTTTGAAAGCCGTTTAGATCACAGCAGACTGCTCGTTCTTTAAACCTGCTACTGAACAATAATTTGCATCTTGTACCGTCATAACCTGAAGTGGTTTGTGCATATTTTCCAACACTGTGCATTCCTGTGTCAATCACAAACATTTATTTAATCTGCACAGACAAGCATCTGTACAATGTTGATGAATGCTCATCAGCCCGTTGACTTGGCCACTTGCATGTTCAAACATGCAAACACTCGTACAAACAAGCAGGCCTGTGCATGCAAGGCTAAATAAATACACGCATTCCAATAGGAATAAATACATTTTGCGTTTACTCCAGCCAGAAGGTGTTGCACTTTATGGTGTTACAATGAGTCATGCACTGACTGTGAAGAAGGTGACCTCAGAGGTGTGACATGTCAGCTTCACATTCATGTTGGACATGTTTTGGTGTTCTAGTCGCAGACCTTTATAAGTGCTTATTTCTTCAATAAAATGCTCGGTGTGTCGAGCAACATGGCTCTGAAAAGCAGTAGAGATGTTGTGTGACGTGCAAGAAGATTAACTGGCTGAGGAATGTAAAGAAGAATTTTAAATACTGAAACAATACTGCATTCATTTGTGATTTGTTGGCAGTATTAGCAAGCACTGAACCATGGTGACCTTAGAATTCAAACTATTCATTTTATAATCGGTAACATTTAATAAAACACAAAGAATCTCTGGAAAAAACAGAAGCCATCTTTCAATTAAAATGACCTTGAAGTTGTGTGTGCTGTTACTGTGTGTCAAAAGTCAGCAGCACCCTCTGTGAGTTGTCCATCTGTGAGGTGGCATCTGTAGAGCGGAGGGTTCTTGGGGGAAGGAGGAGGCCACACAGGTCAGCGGTGCCTCCCTCCATGTCTTGAATTAGAAAACAGTGTCGACCTCATGAAGCACATCGGCAAAGAGTCAGAAAATATATGACCTGCTAAATTATTCTAAACATAACACGAGGTACAAACTATAAATGACCTCATAGCACGCTAACTTTGAAGAAGCAGGTTTAAGACTACATGTGAAATGTTTTTACATTCAAATTGAAGCTCGAGAATTTATCGGAGCAGAATTCCAAAAGAAATCACATCCCCCTTTTTTTCTATTGAATTTGTACTTGACAATCTCAATTTACATTCCTGCATTTAATGTCAGAGATTCATTTAGAGCTCAAATAATCTGCTTTGGGCCTAATATGGAAAAAGGGTGGTGAGACTCCCAAACAAAAACACGACATTCTGTTATCGTATCGCTTTCTCTACACTTCTATACGTCTTAAGCAAATGCAGCTTAATTTTGTAAAGGTGTCAAAATGCTGCTGAATTCAGGTCTGTGGGGGCTGTGTATCCTCTTCTGTCTTCCTCTTTATGTTTGCTGCCATGACAGTGTGAGGAGAAGAAAAACATCACTTTTGACCGGCTTAGTTGATTGGTTGCAGATGACGGTGACTGAGCTTTTTAAGAAAAATCACGACTTTGAGCTGAAATTACACCTGATATGATTTTGTTCGGTGTAATATGCCAACCTCATGGAGCTCACCCCCTCCTCCACTCTCTTGTTCCTCCCCTCAGAGTAGCCTTGAACTGCTGTCTCTCACATGAGGTGCACGTGTGAACAAATAACTCAGGTAGATTTTTTTTTTAGTAGCATGGCTGGTCAATTTCTTGCTCTTAATCTCTCTTTTTCCTCTTTCTCCTCTCTTATAAAAAAGATGTTTCTCTGAATTTCTTATGAAATTTCTTCTCTCACTGTTACTATTGTCTCTACCTCTGCTTGCTGCCTTGAAAATGTTAGTCTTTTGGGGGCTCCATGCCAGTGTTTGTCTGTTGATCTGTCACTTTAGTACCCACTGAAATATAAATATAATTCATTCATGGGCTCTAGGGTTGTCAGAATTATATGTTTCTATAATGCATTGCGATGCAGACGTGGACGATTCTGCATCAATGCATTGACAGAACATATTGGATTATTGCGTACTTTTCCGCAGCTGGACCAATGTTGTTTTTTATTTTGGTTTACATTGTTAAGACAATTATGTTAACATTGATTTTTTTAAAGAACTTTCTCAATAATACAAAAGGGAGTTCTTATTTATCTGACTGCTTGTCTTCATGGATAAAAAAAAAGTAGCCATGTGCAGTAATGTAGAAAACTGGGGAGGCAAACAAATTGTGATGCAGCGTGATATCGAAGAGTTGACAGGATTATCGTGAGATGAGTGAAGATGCACAGCCTTAATGGTCTCCAGAAGATGGAGCTTTCCGACTCTGGCAGTCCCCATGAGGTCAAAATGTCAATATTTTCATATTTTACACCAAGGTACCCTCAAAACTAGTGAACGTCTCTCTTCGTGGGAAAGTACACTTAATTTGAGCTCATTTGACGTGTAGAGTGTAAAATCAAGACCCCTAAAATTTGACTTTTTGACTCATCTGTCTAGAAGGCAGATTGATAAGTTAAAGGTCTCCTTCTCTACTCAACAAACAGTGTCATTCAAACCTGTAAAAAGAGACAAAACAGTTTTTCAGTAAATATCAGAAAGTCTTCTGGTACTGAGAAAAAGCTGCCATCAACTTTATTTTGAGCTGAAGTTCAACAACAGTCCTTCATTTGAATACATCTTTGAAGTAAAAGTGATTGTGACCTGAGTAAGAAGTCAATGTCCAGCAGAAAATGCTTTAGGACGATTCCTATACATTTAATTTACAAGAAAAGAATGACTGATTCTGGACTTTGATTTTATTTCAAACTAAAATTTAAAAAATGAAGGTAAAATAAAAGTCTTCTACTCCACAGTCTACTCTGATATGGATGTTTGAGTCATTTTCAGTGGCAGTAAGCATACATGAGCATGTTGCTGTGCTACTTATTAGCCTTTAGCAATTTCTGGAAACTTCTTTTATGACTTAATACTTTCAAATTCAAGTCACATTTGCGTTCTTTGCCAACATTGTATTTCTAAACACTGATACAAAGAAGAGGAACGTTCTGCTTATACTACACAGACGCTGCTTTTAATCAGTTTGCAAGTCACATTTTAACCTTCGGAATATCAACTGAAAATTCATAGTTTCACTTTCCTACATTTCATGATTTTAAAGAGCGGTAATTTCATTAAAGCTTATTTTCTTTGTTTATTGAACAGTTTCAGGGTTTTTTTATTGAATAAAAACAAATCACTGCACAGGAAATGATGTGTTTAAACTGAAGTTTGAATTCTAACCAGAGACTTAAAAAAGATTGATTTGGAAAGTGAATGCCAGGTTAGATGGTTTTGAGATGTAGATTTTTTTTTTTTTTTTTTTTGGCCATATCCCCTCCCTCCTTTTCCCCATAGCATGTTGCAGATCCAACCCCCCCTCCCTCTATCCCTTCTCCCTTGGCCTCTCTCCTCTCCTCATATCCCTCCTCCTCTCTTGTCGCGTCTCAGCAGTCTGGGCCCCTCAGAGCCTCATTGTTGGTCTCCACAGTAACCTTTGTTGGATTAGCCAAGCCTGGACTGCATTAGCAGCACAATGCTGAGCCTCCACTCGTTTTCTCTGCCTTCCCTCTCCTTCCCCCTCTCTCTGCTCAGTCCTTGCTCTTTTCCAACAATTTCTTTCCTCTTTTTGATTTTTACAAGTTCTTCTTCAAGTTCTTCCCTCTCTTGCTCTCTCCTGAAGAGTTTCTAGATACTTTTGACATGACTCTTCCAGTTGGTAAAGATCCTTCCCTTTACACTGCAATTACAAGGGTGGTCTGTTTGTTTATAGTTGGGTTGAATGCCCCTTTATTCAGGGCTCAGTGCTGATCTATATTCATAACTGGAATATTTTTTTAATTGGGGGGAGAGGTAGACAATGGTGCTGGTCCACTCAGCATTGTTGCTTCCTCCAGACAGTCACAGTTCATAGGAGGGGAGGGGGTGTGCCTGTGCCTCTGTGTGTGTGTGTATGTCTATATACATGTGTGTGTAGACAGTCTCAGTCTCAGACAGCACCCAAGACGAGGGCTCATGGGAACAGGGCTGGTGGGGGTACAAGACAAAGAAACGAGTCAGCAAACTGTCAAAGATTGATCACACATTGGTGCTAGAAATCAGGCCAACACCAAGGAGAGAGAGGGAGGTGACACACA